CTTTCTTTCTCTGTAAATGTCTTGTGTGTGTGTGTGTGTGTGTGTGTGTGTGTGTGTGTGTGTGTGTGTATTACAGTGTGCAGCATCTCTAAATGACAAGTTTTACAAGTAAAGGAGGTCTGTTTTTTTCCCATTACGGCTCCATTCATTTTACAGTGATCTGTAAAATGATCAAAATACATTAATTAGATACAGAATATCTCCTCAATCTTCCATAAATGATAGGCAAAATATGGTCCTGGAAACAGCAAAATATATATGGATTTTTTGTTTGAACAAAACAAGAAATCCATCACACATGTAGTTTTGTTTATATCATTACTTAACTCAATTTTATTTTTCAGCATGATTTTTTTTAAAGTTTCTCTTAATGGATCCAATAATAAATGCAGGTAGGGTTATAATGTAAACAAAAAATATTATTTTTCCTTCATAGCTTAACTTTGTTGAACTATTTATAGCATTTTTAGAAACATTTTCCAGAGCTGCTTTTCAAGTTCCTGCATAATCTTACTTCACAAGAACTGAAATGTCAATGATAGTTCTATAACGATGGGTGATTTCTTAGCACGTAAAAATAGGATTCATTTCTTCATTTTTCCCCACTTTATGTGGAATTATCATAAGCCATTAGGAAAAGGCAAAGCAAATATATATTTTCTGAGTGATGACTGAATTTTTTTTCAATCCAAGGATATCTTTTAATTGAATGTATTAGTATATGTTTATAATGTAGACATTGATAACATTGACATAAACACATTAAAATTTTGTCATTCATTTAAACTCATTAAAACTAGGTAAGAACGGTGTCTAAAGAGCCATCTCTCCCCAATGGGACAAACCTACCCCAATCATGCCAGCAGAAGAGGCTATGAAGCCCGTCTGCCAAGGAATTCCAACAGGTGGGTCAAGGAGAAGAGCCTGTCCCATCCGTGGGAAACATTCTACTACTGGAAGTGAGAACTGCCCCCTTCCTTTTGGCCCTGTGGAAGGTACTAAAATTTGGTTTTGCCAGTTGGCTTGCACTGAATGTGTTTGATGGGATAAGACCACCTCATTTCCGTACCACCTGTTTCTTAATTTTGGTTTCTGTATACAGTGGTACCTCAGTACTCATCGTTAAATGGTTCTGGGAAGTGTGATGAGTAGTAAGGATGATTAGTACCAAACTATTTTTCCTATATGGAGTAATATAGTGAGTCACAAGGCAGCTGACAACGACAAGTTTTAGTTTGTGCGTTGAGTACCAAACAAATGATAAGTACCGGGACAAAATTTTCATGTCAAAATGCATTGAATACCAAATTCGATGAGTTTCAAAACAGTTGAGTTCCAAAGTACCTCTATAGTTTTCAAAATTTTAATCCACGTAGATTTAATCTATTTAAATTATTTTTCTATCTGTTTTACAATCTACCCAGAGTCACGTTATATGGGAGATTTGCAGATGGAGATTTGCGGATGGATGGACGGACAAGACTGAACTACCTCTCAGCAGCAAATCACATTAGAAATATGCCTTCTTTTCTTAAAAAGGTTAGGCAGGATCCATTCTCCACTGAGCTCATATAAAATATTCTCATGTCTCTTTCTTAAATTAGGAAATCGGTGGAATTTACTGGTGAATCACACAACACTTGGATGACTCTTCACTTCATGACTAATTACTAATGACTTATATCTGAATATGTTAACTACACCATGAACTGGAGTGATGCACAGTGACAGCAAATGTTCTCTCTGCATTGTTTGTTTTGTGACAAATATCGCTTCACAAATATATTTTAACTAATATTGCAACTAATGAAATATACACATACAAAGAAACTTTACTTCCAGGTAAGGTTGATTAGTAGTGCTGCATATGTAAAGGTAGCCCTTAATTTATCACCACAATTGAGCCCCAAATTTCTGTTCCTAAGCAAGGAATTCGTTAGGTGAGTTTTGCCCCAATTTATGACCTTTCTTGCCACAGTTAAGTGAATCATTGCAGCTAAGTTAGTAACATGGTTGTTGATTCCCCATTGTCAGAAGATCGCAAAAGGTGATCACATGACCTGGGACATTGTAACCATCATAAGAGCCGAGGTGGCGCAGTGGTTAGAATGCAGCACTGCAGGCTACTTCAGCTGACTGCAGTTCTGCAGTTCGGCTGTTCAAATCTCACCGGCTCAAGGTTGACTCAGCCTTCCATCCTTCCGAGGTGGGTAAAATGAGGACCCGGATTGTTGTTGGGGGCAATATGCTGACTCTGTAAACCGCTTAGAGAGGGCTGAAAGCCCTATGAAGCGGTATATAAGTCTAACGGCTATTGCTATTGCTATAAACATAAATCAGTTGCTGAGCATCTGAATTTTGATCACTCTGGCGATAAAAGGCAGCGGGCGGAGAGGAATAGACGAGGCAGACAACTAGGCATCTTCCAGCTGGCTGAACTTGTTAGCCTGCGTTGAGAGAGAAACTTTTTGCTGGGGCTGCTGGCGCTCCCTAATAAAGGAATCTTTGAGTTAACTTCAGGGGGTTTGTCGTGTTTGGGGAGCTGGGTCAGAACACACATGATGTGCGTGATGTCACTCTGCTCCTTCTTGGTTACCCATGTGATATAAGTTCACAATATAGTAATATAAAGCACAGCATAAGACATCTATGGCTTCCTAGCTAATAGGTTTTTTTGGGAGATGCACTTCTAACTCTATATATTAATGAAAAAGATATTATGTAGATAAACTATTATGATATTACACTAGACCTATATATAAAACAAATAGCTGAATATTCTTCAAGGGTAGCCCCATGTACATTGCCATAGTCCAAGTGGAGATGGCTGGGGCTTGAGTGTGTAAATGCAGGGACTCCTGATCCAGAAAAGGGCACAACTGGTGCACAACGTGAAATTGTGCAAAAGCTCTCCTAGCCACAACTGCCACAACTTTCCTAGCCATGACTGCCATCTTCCCTTTAAGCAGGAGCCACGAGTCAAGTAGGAGAACCTGCAAATTGGATGGCGAGAAGTCCAGGAAAGCAAGGATGGATGCACTGCAGCCATCCCACTCTCGTCAGAGACCAATGCTGCTTCTGTCCCATAATTGGCCATGAAACCTGACTGAAAGGAGTCCAGATAATAATAACCCATCCTCATATGAACTGGGTAGAAGCAATTCATTTTTTTCTGTACTCATTCTAATTTTAGATATTCCTCAGCCACAAATCCAAGACAAGAATGACAAATGTTAACTGTTCTGAGAGAAAGAGAGAGAAGCATGTGCTAATTGAGTTAAGACTTTATAAAAGGAAGAACTGTATGCTGCATTTATGAAACTACTTTGAAAAGAAATCCCATTCAGCTAAAATGTAAGTACAAAGACAATTTCTTGTTTCTACCCCAAATAGATATTCGAGCACATGATGGCATAGGAAGAAATGTATTCAGCTGTACTTGCAGACACCGTGAGTCTGTCCTGGCAACGCTCCAAAGATAATAAGGAGAGGCAACATCTCAGGAACAATATTATGGGCACAACTCCATCCTGATTTGAATATTTAACTTTAATTTTAATACATTTTATACATGCTTACATCACACGTATAAAAGAGGCCAAGAAAGTATCTTATGCAAAGAGGGCTGTGGTGGCGCAGTGGTTAGAATGCAGTATTACATTAGAATGCCAATTCTGCCAACTGCCAGCAGTTTGATTCTCACTGGCTCAAGGTTGACTGAGCCTTCCAACCTTCCAAGGATGGTAAAATGAGGAGCCAGATTGTTGGGAGCAATATGCTGACTCTATAAATTGCTTGGTGAGGACTGTAAAGCATTGTGAAGCTGTATATAAGTCTAAGTGCTATTGCCAGTGGCGGATTAATGACCCCCCCCCCAAATATATATGTCTTTGATAATTATTTCCATATTAAATAAATATAAGAACATTTGCTGAAACAAGCTAAAGACTTACCAAGCCCAACTTCTTGTTTCCTACATTTACAAGTTAGATTCCTGTAGGAAACTTTCTAAGAGGACATCTTTCCACAATTAGTAATGCTGTATTGTCCCTGACACACCAAATTGCATTTACAACACTATCATATATGTTTTGTTTTAAAACAGATTTAAAACTTTTTACATTTTTTTAAAGTTGAGAGATAATTTTAAAAATCTACAATGTTTTTACATTTTTAGAACCAAAGAAAGAATCAGTTAGATGGAGAGGGTGATCAACGACTCCACTTAGAGTGGAAAGTATAATATTAAATCAGTCATACAGGGATGAAATGAAGTGTTTTCTCACTGTTCTTTATGACACGTTCGTGGCTTTCTCTTTATGTCTTTGGCACGAGACCTCTGAAAATCTGCTTTTCCTACTCATGTCTACTAAATAAAGAATTGGTGTTTCAAACATTTCAGAAACATAGTGAATGCTTAATATGCATAAATGGTGAGCATTGTGACACACGTCTGGATCTACAGACAGAATTTTATTATCACCTTTATCAGGCACTGATTTTAAAGGCTGCACATCATAATGGAAATAACGACTCACACATAGCAGCCACAACAGATTCTTGAGTCACTGGATAGCAGGTTGAGATTCAACTCATTCTAAGACACTTTTACTTACTTAATCTTTATTACTTTTGGATTAAAGGATGACTAAGATATACATTTCAAATATACTAGAAGATTTAAAAAATAGAAAAGCTTGTCAAATCAAAATGTTCAAAGGCAGCCTACATAACTTTTCTAAATGAAATTATGCATATAATTAAGAATTTTGTTCCAAAGGATCAGAAAACAGTCCTGTCAAAACCAAAAGATGCCAAATTTTTATTTTAATCTATGGGATTTCTACAAAGATTTCATACTATGGAATGTAATCCTCCGCCTGTTTACTCAAAGTGCAATTATCGGAGAATTAGGATAAAAAACACACATGCTTTCTAACAAAAGCAAAGACTATTTTATTTCTTAACTCCATCCAATTCCAACTGCCATGTTTCCTTACCTTGCCAAAGCTTCCTTTTCCAATTGCTCGAAGAATCTGGAAGTGATCAAAGTTCACTACGAAAACAAAACAAAACAAAATCTGTCATTTCTTCTTACTCCTCTGTCAACGTATGTTATAAAAGAATGGCAATGACATAGGAAACAGCTCCTATAGTGTTATTTTTTAAACAATTGTTTCATGCTCCTCAATTAACTAGCTGTGTTTGGACTTTTTCTTATTGCATAAAGAGGATGTGGGTTTCCCTGACTTAATCTTATCCATTCTTTGAAGATGTATGTACATTGGAGGAAAAAGGAGAAAAGACGACTGTAGATGCTCATACTCCCCACGGATTTAAAACTATATGATCAGAGACCTTGCCTATGTACAATAGGCAATCTCTTTGCCTTCTTCCTTAACATAGATGCAAGGGTATCACAAATCTTTCAGTGTTTGCTGATTAAGATGCTTTAATACCTGGCCACGATCAAAAGTATTCCTTTTCAGACATGAATCTCATGCAGAATCTTATTTAGCAAGATTTAGTGATATAAAAATGATAGAGTTATAAAAATTCCACTAATTAAACTACTTCCGGCCTAAAACCAAGATATCCTAAAAGTAGCGTAGAGACTTGTGTTCTGTTTAACTACCTTCCTGTGAACCTCCTAAACTGGTAGGGCTGTTCACAAAGGAGTTTAGAGAGAGCCATCTTTATACAATTGTCTTCTGAATCTTTGTCAGTCTGGAAATGAATCAGTACAGTTGGCATCTTCTTGGAAGAAGGCAAGCAAATAGATAAAACCAGGGAAAAAAGGGCTAAAAATAGTAAGGGTTACAAAAACCCATTCATTAGATTTTACCCTGACAATTGCTCCAAATTTAAAGGTCATTGTAGCCAGAAATCATGAAGGGCCATATAGTCCAAATGATATGTAAGACTGGGGCCCCCTACAATTAAAAGCAGATGTCTTCCTATCCTGAAAACAGGAAGGAATAGGAATCTCTGAAATATAATGCAACATCCCCCCAAACATCACAAGGCGGCAGGAAAAGGTTCCGCAGGTGCTTTCTGAACTAAGCTGCAAAAATCCACAAGTGCCCTGGATGGTAGCAAAGAATTAATGTCTGCAGCCCTTCCATATTTGGTGGTTTTCATAGGGAAAAAAAATATCCTATCATCAATATTTCAAAATCTGTTTTTTTGTTTGCAAAGAGGCAGCAGAAGTTTTTTTTTTTTTAAATGCCCAGCAGTTTATGCAATTATTATTACTGCTAGGAGGAAATCAACATTTTGAAAAGAGGCCACTGGCATCTGTTCTTTTGATTTATGGCTCCATTTGAACTTTTGCTCCTAGCTATTACCAGAGCTATAATGGAAGATAAAGGAGGGAGGGAAATGAGTTTATATATCACTTTAATTAGATTTAAAGTGGCCTGGATATGCAGACAAAGCAACTTAAAAATGATTACTATTAGGGTAATGGCCACAATCTTTAAAAAGTAATCATAATATGAAATATTATATTATTAATTTATCTAGCTAAATAAAAATCTATACCAAAAATATATAAATATTTTTCCTCCCAGAATTCTGGTAAATGTTATAGAAATTAATTAAAAATAATAATCTCATTTCAATTAAAACCTGATTTTAAATGATATATATTTTACATCTGGATTAAATCAAGATTTTCTGTATACTTTGATCGTAAGTGAGACATTTTATATGCAACTCATCATAATGCATGGTGATTGTCCTATGATGGGCCATTG